TTTTTTTAACCCCCCCCCCCCCCCCCCCCCTTCTCTTTCTCTCTTCTCAATAAGATTTTCTGTTTCTTATCTAAAAGAAAAGTTTGTTTGCAGAAGAAGTTGGCCTGTAATTAGTCTTGGTTTCTACTCTAATTGATATTTGACATGTACAAATTTTGGACTGCTTTCTTGACATCCTTGTACTTTTCTCATAATGGGTTGTCTTTTGCTGGTCCTGTAATAGCTGCTTTTGGATAAAATTTTTGGTCAATTTCTCCTCCTGATCATTCATTTGTATGCATTCTGCTGCAGAGTGTTTTGCCAGGCATTCTTCAAGGGGATAAATCAGACTCTCTTTTGTACGGTTCTGTCGACAACGGCAAGAAAATATCCTGGAATGAAGATTTTCATTCCAAGGTAAATCTACGTTTTAGCTTGTTTTGGAATGCTGTTAGTTGATCGTTTTATAATTTTTGACCTAAGAAAAGAGACCTAGACCTCTTTATGATTCTTGTTCCTCTGTATGTGGATTAAGGTTCGTTGCATTTGATTGAATCATCTGTATTACTTTGTGTCAAATGAATTTCATTGTTATAAATTCTTAAATGTAGTTACTTATGGTCAGGTGGTAGAGGCTGCAAAACGGCTTCATTTAAAGGAACACGCAGTCCTTGATGGATCTGGAAATGTTTTCAAGTTAGCTGCACCTGTTGAATGCAAGGGTATTATTGGTAGCGATGACAGGTGAACACTTGATGGTTATCTTGAAAACCATTCTTAATCCACCTTAGGAAAAACAATCCTTTTCACTAATTATTAGTGCTTATGGCTTTGAGTCATGCTTGACATCCATTTTTGAGAATTACCATATTTGAGTTTCTCATATTGTTCTAGCTAATATTGAGGTTTATGTATTTAGGTTTTGGAGTGTTTTTCTTGTGTGTTTAATGTTATCTTAAAATCTCTCTCTCTGAGTCAGGCATTATCTTCTTGACTTGATGAGAGTAACACCCCGGGATGCAAACTACACTGGACCTGGGTCCAGATTTTGTATATTGAGACCGGAACTAATTACAGCTTATTGCCAGGTAGGTGACATTCTTTGCTATTTCTTTTTTTTTTTTTTTTTAAATTTTTTCTAGTGGGCATTTTTTATTAAAGTTTTGTTAATTGGACAAGGCCCAAGTTGCAGAAAGATCAAAAACTAAGTCTAATTCTGAAGGAAGTGGTCCTGCAGCAAGTGATGTTTCTAATGTTGCCGGTGACAAACAGGTGAGCGTCAAATCAAATAAAACTGCTGCTTTTTGTGGTTCTATAATCTGTGCTCTTACTTCTTTCTGCTTGTATCTTATATTCTCTTTGATTCTGCGAGGTGTACATGTATGGCTGGATACATATTATGCATTAAATTGCATGATAGTTGCTTCTGATATGCCATCATTTCTGTATGATAGATGCTTGTGAATTGCATTATTATACACGCGTTTTATCATTGTTTCTGGTAGATAATTTTTTTGCGCATTTACTACGTCGCACACATGGTCTTTGATGTCTGCATATGTAATTTTCCATGATTTTTAGTCATCAGCCCATTTTGAAAATTTTTTCCTTTTCAATTACCATGAATCCTTGCACAAATTTCATTACACTATGACATATACCTTTGGCTGCATTCTTTCTTTTATGCTGCCTCCTCCTTTGTGTTTAATTTGGATGGTAAATGAGGCGCGGCTTCTGCGCACTTAATAACCCTGCTGCTAGGAGTAATTTTTTTACAGCTCCTAAGGCTGTTTACTTGACGAATAATTGTATTTTGGTTATGAGTGGGTGTTCAGATGAGACAGGTAGAATACAATGCAAAAGTCTGGTTATGAGATGGACAACTAAAATAAAATCTTCAATTGGTCTTATAGGATGATCCGAAAGAAGAAAAGAAGACCGAGGATGCTCAAGAGAGCACGTCTGCACCTGCTGAAAACTTCGAACAACAAGAAGAGATACAGGAGGAACTTCTTTTCAATCCTAATGTATTCACTGAATTCAAGTTGGCTGGAATCCAAGAGGTAGGACCTTATATTTTCTTGCCCTTACACTGAATTTGAGGTGTTTCTTTTTCTTATTTCTTTTTAAAAATCTTCGTCGACTTTATTTCCAGGAGATAGCAGCAGACAAAGAAAATGTGAGGAAAGTTAGTTCGTATCTTACAGATGTCGTACTTCCGAAATTCGTACAAGATCTCTGTACACTTGAAGTATCGCCTATGGATGGCCAGACACTAACTGAAGCTCTCCATGCTCATGGAATTAATGTTCGCTATATTGGAAAAGTATGCACTTCTTTACCAATGTGATATTTGAATAATGAATATATCTATAAAAGGCAGCTCTTCAAAATCTACGCACGAAATGTGTGTGATTTTTTTTTTTAGTATATAAATAAAATGAGAGTGATGCTTTTCTTTTCAATGGGCAGTATAGAGTTGCTTATGGTGTGATTTCATTCATTTGGCAGGTCGCTGATGGGACCAGACATTTACCTCATTTGTGGGATCTTTGTTCTAACGAAATTGTGGTTAGATCTGCCAAACACATCCTAAAGGTGACTCTTCTCTTTCAGTTATTTTGTACGTCTCTATTACTGGATTTGGAGCAAATGCTTGAGACCACCGTTGAAAAATTGTAGAGCTCAAATAAAATAACTAAATGAATAATAGATTATATTTGAAAAGTTGAAAAACTGATGCAAAGGAATTTATACCATGGGCTTGAATTTCCTGGTTGTTGTCTAACCACTGAAAAATTGAGGGAACTTCCTTCTACAATTTTGTGAGTTATTTTTTTTTTTTGCTGTTGCAAAGTGTCGATCTTTTGACTCAGTTTATTTTAATGCAGGATGCTTTAAGAGAAACAGAGGATCATGATCTTGGGCCAGCAATTTCTCATTTCTTCAATTGTCTTTTTGGAAGTTGTCAAGCTGTTTCCACAAAGGGCGCTGCCGGTAGTCCGCACTCTAGGACTCCAAGAAAGGTATGTTTCTGATAGATTAAGTAATTTCATGATTTATTCTTTCAGATTCTCAGTTCGAGCATCAAGTATAGATGATTAAGGTCCCGTTCATTTCACCGATTTGAGTTTAGAATTCTAGTTTTGCTACAATAAAAAGCTCTCAGAAACAGTCACATCTAATTTTTTTGCTACGGTAAAAAGCTCTCACATAAAGTCACATCTCAACTCGAATTAAAAACTCAAATCAACGAATTAAACGGGCCCAAATACTCTCAAATTTTCACTTAGTTTTTACAAGCAAAAAACAATAAATCACTTAGTTATATTGCCATACCTTTCTTCCCCTTAAAACTCCATTTAATTCTTCAAAGGGCTCATTTAATGTGTTATACTGCATGCAGATTACCATTTTTCCTGAGTTCTCATGATGAAACTAGGATAAGTATTTTATTTAACAAAAAACTTCAAAACAATTTATTATAATTTCTTTTTTCTTATTCATAGCCACAATATTCAAAACTAATTTGATCGTTCATATTCAATTGTCTACAGGACCAAGCTGGCCATCAATCATCGGGAAAATATTCAAAGGGGCAAGCGAGGTGGAAAGGTGGATCTTCTGGAAGAAAAATTCAATCTTCTTATGTGAATGTTAGCTCTGAAAGTTTATGGTTGGATATTCAAGAATTCACAAAGTTAAAATATCAGGTATCAGTTGTCAATAGTGTGAGATGCTTAACTATTTAGCATCATATGGAAGTTATATGAATTTTTTTTTTTACTTCATTTTTCATATATTTTCCACTGCTGCAGTTTGAGTTGCCAGAGGATGCAAAGACACGTGTAAAGAAAGTTTCTGTGCTCCGAAATCTTTGCCAAAAGGTATTCTTTTCTTATGATTTTACAGTGTTTATTATGTTGGAAATACATTTTCTATTTCGATCTGGTTATTTTATTTCTGCTGCAGAAATGCGTTTCTCCTAGGATGAAAGAGGATTTTCTCGTTTTTCATTTTGGTTTGATCTTTTTGTATATCTTTTCTTTCAGTAAAAGTTCTTTGTTTCATATTCAAAAATGTTATAGCGCTGGTTATGTTTTATTTTGCTAGCATTGGAAATTATGCTACATTAGCCTCAGATGCTTGTCCATTTGCATGTTATATTACTCGAAGTTTTTCTTCAATGGTATTTGAGAGTATCTGGATAGCTCAATTTGCAAAAATGCTATTGGAATATCTATAATCCTTTCGGGATCATATGGGTTGATGCTATGTCCTATTCATCCATAAAAGTTTACATGTATATTGTTCTTGCAGAGCAGCTTTCCTTTTTGCTAGACTTATGCCAATGTAAATCATCCCTGGTCAAATGATAGTTTTAAGGTGGTCTAATTTGATATTATTCGTTTTTTTTTTTTCTTTCTTTTTCTTTTTTCTTTTTGGCAGATTTTTGCTCTTGTATTTCTAGTGCTTTACATTTATTACTTCAATAAAAGATTTTACCTAAAAAAAGGTATTGTTATTTAAGTGTTGAAGCATGAAAACATCTTGTTCTCACAAGTGTCGTATGAGCACCCGTCATTCTTTATACTTTTATGTTTTTGTTATAAGATGCTCCCATCATTTCTTTAGTATATGAATATCCAACAACTTGGACTTTGATTTCCTATGCAGGTAGGAATTACGATTGCAGCTCGTAGATATGACCTTAATTCTGCAGCACCTTTCCAAACAACAGATATCTTGAATCTCCAACCTGTAATTAAGCACTCAGTTCCTGTATGTTCAGAAGCCAAGGAACTTATGGAAACGGGGAAGATCCAGTTGGCTGAGGTGTGCACTATTCTCTTAGTATTCTTGAATCTTGTACTAATCTTATAACTTGGGATCATATTCTTAAGCCATGGAAATAGTTCAAGAAAAAAATTATTGAATATTAAGTTTGTGTACAATATTAATAAGATGGTGTCATCAATTGGTAGGTTTAATAGACCTTAAACTTAGTGCAACTAATCATGATATTTGGCTTCTTTGTTCCAGGGTATGCTTAGTGAAGCTTACACATTATTTTCCGAAGCATTTTCAATTCTTCAACAGGTATACTTTATCTTGTGGCATCTTCGAATTTCTTTGGTATATGCAGTTATATAATTTTATTCTTTCTTTTTATTTTTTTTTTCTTATTTCAGGTTACTGGTCCAATGCATCGTGAGGTTGCGAACTGTTGTCGGTAGATATCGCAACTTTATCCATTGTGCCGATTTGGTTTTGTGGATTTTTATTGGAAACAGTTTGTACTTCACCTCATTATCTAAAAAGAACTTTCCATTGTGTTTCAGGTACCTTGCTATGGTTTTATATCATGCAGGAGACATGGCTGGGGCCATAATGCAACAGCATAAAGAACTCATCATTAATGAACGTTGCTTGGGTTTGGACCATCCTGATACTGCTCATAGGTATTGCCTCATGTACTCTTTTTCCCTCCCTCTGCATAACTTTGTTAATATTCGGATACTTCCAAATCTTTCCCTGTAGTTTTGTTATATTGGCTGGGAGAGAACCCGCATCTTACAGCATAAGATTCAAAATGAGAGTTATATTCTAATTGCAAAAATTGTGCTTTCTCTTGCTTTAGGTTATTTTGGCGGGCTGGTGGACCAGTCTCATGAATGATTAGAAGTCTTTGCATAGTTTAGATGGACTAGCCATCCTATAGACGGGATTTTTTTATTACTTTGATTAAATACAAAATGTTTCTAATCCATATAGATACTTATCTTGTAATTTCCATGAATCAAAATTGAGGAAATTGCAGCGTGTGTTGTTGGGATTTGCAGCAGTTATGGCATAGATATAATTAAGTTTTAGTTTTGTGACATTTTATCCTGACTGATGAAAATGGAAGCGGTAAACATTACAAAAATGATAAGGGCTTGTTGCCTGTGATACTGTGTTATTATTGTCGTTGCTTTTATAATTACCATTTCTTCAGCTTTTTCCAAACTCTAGAGTCTTCCATTTTCTGTGGATTGTTGAGTCATCTAATATTCTAATAGTTGGTGGTACAAACTCTTATTTTTCATGTTCGACTTTAAGATTCATCATATTGTCTAGAGATGTTAATTCTATGTTAAATTTTCATAAATATCTCTGTTTCTACACAATTTTATTTTTATTTTATTTATTTATTTATAAATGGGATACTTCTAGTGATTTTACTATTTAGACTATTGCACGAGTCTACCCTCTGTTATCAATGTAATATAGAACCAATAGTCAATGTAACCTTTCTTCTTCTTTTTTTTTTTTTTAATAAGAATACGGTCCATTTGTTTCGAACTTTTATTGATTGTATCAATTTTGTGGTTATGTCACTAAACATATTTTGATTCTTTGAAGACTGCACTAAGTTAAGTCTTCTTTTAAAGAAAATAGTAAAGTTTTTTGTTTTTGTGGAACTAATTTGTTGCATTGTGCAAATTCCACTCTCTACTTATGGACTAATCGTTTTCTTCCTTGTTTCTTTACTCGACTATCGCAGTTATGGCAATATGGCTCTTTTCTACCATGGCCTTAACCAAACAGAACTGGCACTAAGGCACATGTCGCGAGCATTGCTTCTGCTGAGTTTGTCTTCTGGACCTGATCACCCTGATGTCGCAGCAACTTTTATAAATGTTGCAATGATGTATCAGGATATTGGGAAGATGAACACAGCACTTCGTTATCTGCAAGAAGCCTTGAAAAAGAACGAGAGACTTCTAGGCGAGGAGCATATCCAAACTGCTGTATGCTATCATGCCCTTGCCATTGCATTCAATTGCATGGGTGCTTTCAAGCTTTCACACCAGGTATGTACCTTATGCGAAAAGGTCTTTTGCTTGCCAAATAAGATGGTCTTTTTGTTTTCCGTTTTTTTTTTTTTATTTGAAATGAGTCATGTAAAAGTCACTTTATTCATAGCTAAAGGAGAACATGTAAGAAGACTTCCTGAGAACTATATATAAAAAAAAATAAAAAACAGGTATATGTTGTTTCAAATTCTGTATCCTTCAGAATTGGAAAGAATGTATACAACATATCGTTCCAACTTGAGGATATAAATAAAAAAAGGGAATTAAACGTTCTCTTTGCTATGCAACTTTTGGAAATTTTTCCTGTTCCTTTCAATTGACCCAAGAAATTGCTAGTAGTGCTTGTTACTGCAAAAATAGAGCATCTTGTTGAAATTATACTGTTTAGTTAAAACCAACTGAAAAGTGGGCGTCCTTTAGAAGAATAAAGTATTTTCAGATTATCAATACTCGGTCCCTTTGTAGTTTTTGGTTTGTACAACGGTTTTGTATTGTGTAGGCTGTCTCTCGTCTTATAGTTGAACTAGCCTCTGGTTTGCTCATTTTACAATATGTTCTTACGGATTATTTTTTTGGTCATTTTTCAAAAAAAGATTTTATTTTGACATGGTTATGGTGTTTGCCTGGCAGCATGAGAAGAAAACATATGATATACTTGTCAAACAACTTGGTGAGGAGGATTCAAGAACACGTGACTCTCAAAACTGGATGAAGACGTTTAAGATGCGTGAGCTACAGGTAAATGGTCGGCATGCTTTAAAAATTTCACGTCCATGAAATTAGGTTTTTCTATTTAGAAGTACTCTCTCTTGCACACCCTCCTTCTCTGAATTTAATTATTTTTATTTTTGGCAGATGAATGCGCAAAAGCAAAAGGGCCAAGCTTTAAATGCTGCCTCTGCCCAGAAGGCTATAGATATATTAAAGGTATTATGACTGCTGCTCTTTGATCATTTACATTGAAATGAACATGCAAAGCAATTAGGTTGAAGCAAACATAATTGATTTCATATTTGAAATGAACATAATTTGTTGTTAGTATTTGATTTTATTAATGATCAATGAAAATGTCAGAACCAATTTATAAATTCTTAAACTCTGATACAAGTTCTAAGGTCTTCTTTAAATAAAAGGTCATCCAAACACTCTTAAAGCAACTTTTGGATCCAAGAAGCTGCCAAACTAGCCTTATGCAAGACTAAAACAACAATTGTTTCCACATATTCCGCAGTAACATATAGTAGACTAGTACTCTTGAGGCTGCGAAATTTTTGTTTTGTATTTGTTAATTCCATATTCCTGGCTTGGTTTCTTCTGTGTCTGCATTTGTCTTCTAGCACCTTGTATTTTATTTTCCATGGTTTTGTATTTTATTTTCCATGGTTGAATCTTGCACTACAGGCCCATCCCGACTTGATGCAAGCATTCCAAGCTGCCGCTATAGCAGGAGGGTCTGGAAGTTCAAGCAGTTCGGCGAACAAATCACTTAATGCTGCCATGATTGGCGAATCTCTTCCTCGGGGGAGGGGAGTTGATGAAAGGGCAGCACGAGCAGCTGCTGAAGTCAGAAAGAAAGCAGCCGCAAGGGGCCTCTTAATTCGGCCCCACGGCGTTCCCGTCCAAGCTCTGCCTCCACTTTCTCAGCTCCTCAACATAATCAATTCAGGTGCGACGCCAGATGCAGCGAACAATGGAGAAGCAAATGGAGTCAACGATACCAACAGCCATCAGGCCAACGGATCTGTTGATGCCAAGGCCGACCAGCCACCATCATCCGGGGAAGGTCAGGCCCCTGTTGGATTGGGCAAAGGCTTAGCGTCATTGGATGCCAAAAAACAGAAATCGAAAGCCAAAGCTGCGGAGTGAATTTTTTTGAAGCACGTGTGATTTAGTTGATAGGAACTATGGATTTATTGTGATCATTGGATGTTTTCTTGTATTCTGGCTTTTAAAGCTGCAATTTTTTCTGATGGGCTCGATGGTCGTCCCGCGTTCTACTCAACCTCAGAAGCGAGAAAGAGTATGGGGATTTGGTATCATAAGCCTGTAAACATTGCCAGTTTTGGGTTCTCCATAGTGATTTGGATGGTAGAGAAAGATGGGAGGAGCAAGTAGTTAATTACATAGTAGTGTTACTTCTAATCTTTTTCCTTGGGTAAATTTTTAGTAAGTTACATGACTTAAGTATTAAAATATAGGTAAATTTGGACTTTTTGAAATCACCTCAAGAGCAATATCATTTTTAACATGTCTCATCTTGCTCGTTTGGTTGACAAAATAAAATATAATACATATCTCAAGATAAGCACAATTAAGTAATAACACAATCACACTATTTCTTAAAAACTATACATATATCAAAGGTCTCTACGTACAGGTAAGTTAGTTCATATACATCAGTATCGGTTCTTAAGAGTGCACTTGTCAACTGTCTAACCCTTAGTTAATGCTAGGAAGTGCCCTCCTTTGCATTAGCTGAGGGTTAGACGGTTGGCTGGCGCACTCCTAAAAATTGAGATTGATATATATGGACTAGCTGACCTGTATGTGGAAGCCTTTAATATATGTATAGTTTTTGAGAAGTAGTGTGGTTGTGTTATTACTTGGCTGTGCTTATTTTGAGATATGTGTTATATTCTATATATTTTGTCAGCTAAGCGAATCAGAGGAGACATGTTAAAAATGGTATTGCTCTTGAGGTGATTTCAAAAAGTCCAAATTTACTTATGTTTTAATACTCAAGTCATGTAACTTACTAAAAATTTACCTAAGGAAAAAGATTAGAAGTAACACTACATAATATGACTATGTAATTAACGTAGAGTCCTATTAGGCGGGTGTTACAGCAGTGGCATCATGGTATGTTCATACCGACAGGTCCGGATAGAATGCTGACATTTTTTTTCCTTTCAACTTTTTAACTTTTTGTGTTGTTGCACCTTCAGAAATTTTAACGTATTCCTTGTAATTTAAAGGGGTTAGGAAAATTGAGATTTTGTTTTGATTGAATGATACATAAAATGGTTCCCTTGCCATCACCTAATAAAGTTGTTTCAAAGAATGAATTTCTCTTTGTTTACTAAGGGTGTTTGTAACTGTTAAAATATGTAACGCTTCTGTAGTGCTGATTTGATACATTCATATCATTGAAAAACGGGTTTCATGTTTTATCATTATCACTGTCCCTTATCATTATAATCTCAAAACTGAAACCAATATCATATTTGTCTATTGTATCATATCATACAATGAGATAAAGCACCAACATTATCATCCTTTAAAAAGGACTATAAGTACAACAAGCACAATCCAACTAAAAATATAATGGTGGGGAAAAAAAAATAGAAATCTGTATCACAAAAGAGTTGCACTGGGTTAGCTTGTAGTGCTCAGAAACGTGCCTCTGCTTGCCCTCCTGGATCCTAGGATATCTACAAGACTTGTGTGGCGGAGTTCCTAAACACGAAGCCAGCATGCGCATAGCAAATTGTCCAAATCTTTTTTGATGATGGTGACTACTGGTTTTGTGCGTGCTGCAGTTTCGAAGTGACTACAGGTTTTGTACGTGATGCAGTTTCAAAGTTGCTTCTGTGCTTGATGCAGTTTCAAAGTTGCTTCGACCGTAGAACCATGCCTGTCTGTTGGAGCGAATTGGATGATCAGGCCGAGGGATTTCCATCACTCTCCTTCCCCTAATATGAACCTCAAGTCATCAAAACCTTTCTCATACCCTTTTGCTTTACTCATGGTGGAAATGAGAGAGCGTTAAAAGTGAGGACATATTCGCGTCTCTTCCCATTTGCCCGGAAATAACTGTATTCACATTCACCTTCAACCCGTATGTCTAATTAGCTGAAAAGTTAGATACATGTCGTGTGCAATTTTTAGGCTCGTAAAATACACACATTGTACACACACATCATATCATCGCAAAATAATGCTAAAATGAACTCCCATCTAGTTCGAAACCCACTTAAAATGCAGCGACAATGTCACTCATATCCTGCTTCAAAGCATTGCCAAGCATTGCAATCTTCTTGTAAGGCGTGCTCTAGAGAAAAAGAATCCTTCATTTTCTATACTTAGATTGTACTGGGCAATAAAGATAACGAAACATGCAAGTATCATTGCAGCACATAATAGCGCACAAATTAGAAACGACGTCTTTTCTAATTGCAAAAGTGAAAAGGGCCTTGCAGAATCTGCCACAACTAAGTACCTTCATTGCGTTCATTTTTTCTCACGATAACAGAAAACAGTGATTACCAAATCAAATATAATTGTTCAAAGAAACGAAAGATTATAATTATCTTAATCCGAAATATCATAAAATGATCCAAAACGTTAAAAGTTTAAGATTTCTCAACGAAAGGAAACAAGATTAAAAGAAGAAAAACTTTCTGAGACTAGTCTACTTAGTTTTCCTTACCTATAGCAAAAGTCCCAAACAAGAAAATGCTTCTAGGAGATTATTTTTTTAAGATAGTATAAATTTTGGCTATACCAAACTTTCCCACAAGCTCTTGGTTGATCCGCCACTCTTAGACCACAACAATACTCTTGTCCTTGGGGTTAATGCTTTCGATGGTGAAGCGATCATTCCATATCCTCTTGCTTAAGAGCAGACGAATTGGAAGAAAAGCAATGTAACCACCGATGGCTACTGAATAACCTCCTCTTAGTTTCTCAACAACAAAGCCTTTGACCTTTCTATTGGTTCGCCAAATCTTGTTGAGCTCAATCCAAGCTTGGGTTTGCCTAAATCTTCGTGGAAGAAGAAGAGTGGGTTCACCGGGCGCTGCATCTTCGGCTCCCACCAAATCATTAAACTTGGCAGCCGCTCGCTGTTTGGTGACTGGATCACCGGCCACAATATCCATGAAGAATCTCTCGAGAACCCGGTTTTTGATGGATGACGATTCACCGGCCCTTTTATCCAGGTATCCCACCTTATTCTCGAACCTGGTGATGGACTTGTTGGTTGGCACTCTTGTGAGCTCATCTTCCATACAAATTCTTGGGGTCCCAGGTCCAGCATCCACCAAGAATGTCTCTTCCCTCAAGCGTGAAACTTGAGATTGCAATGCATTCCCGCCAGATAACAAAAAGCTCGAATTAGATCTTGGAAACATTCTGCTCATATAAATGCTCATTGTAAGCCTTTTTCTTTTCTCCTCCTCTTCCTATAAACAGCTAAACTACAAAGCTATATCCTGGACAAGTACAAAAGAAAATTATGGTCATTTCTGATTCATCAACTTTTAATACAATGTTACATTAGCATAAAGTACAGAAAAAGGTTTTATTATAAACAAGAGCACATCTTCATCATACCCAAATAAAATAAAGAAACTAAAAAAATAATTAAAAAAAAACTAAAAAAAAAAGGAAGCATAAATTCAATCAATACAAGCTCAAATCGCGCTCGAAACGTTATCATGTTTGTCATCGCACTTTGAGATAAAGCATCAAACTTTACCATCAATACAACCCAACTAAGTTATATTCAGTTGAAAAAAAAAAAAAGAAAGAAAAAAATTGCTTTTAGTGCTCAACTTTCATTTTCCTCAAATAATATCGTACTCTCCAAATCTTCATTTTCCTCAAATTTGCTACTCTTTGTTTCATCTCAGCCTGTTCAAGTTCCTTTCGGTCAAGCAAATCGATTCAGAATCCATGAAATGTAAGAAATATTGAAACCAAATGAAGTTTGTTCACTGGGGAATTTAATCAAACAATTTGAGGGCAGGAAAAATTAAAAAGAAAAAAACAGAGACAAACAGAAAAACTCATTTTTCCTTCTTTCTTTTCGGGCTCCCCAAAATTTTCCACATAGAATTCCCCGCAATCATTAACTAAAAAAAAAATTGTAAGCTTTTTTTTTTTTTTTTTTGCTGGAAATTTTCCAGACAAAACCAGCCAAATCAATAACTTCAATCAAATGATATTCCAATCGTTTCAAAGAGACAAACTTTTCAAAGAAACGGGAAAAATGAAAGAAAGTCCAATACCAAAAATCACAATCTCAATCTCAATGATGGAAAAATAGTTTTTTTTTTTTTTTTTTTTCCGTACTAACCTTTCCCTAGTCAATCAAGAAAACCGGCGAGAGGCGAGAGCAGGAGAAAGCCGCCTGCTTTCTAAAGGTTTTTGGAGAAGTTCGAAATGAAGACAAGGAAAGGACTAAATAAGGGGTTTTTTTTTTTTTTTTTTGTCATTTAAATTAGGTGGAGAATCCATTTTAGTCGCTTTATTATCATTCGTGGTCGCTTTGCATTCATACTTAATCTTTTTTGTTGTAATTTTTATTAAAATTAGACATAAAAAAAGAAAATTAAGTGTGTTTATGTGATTTTTTGTGTGTTTATATTTAACAGAAAATTTAAATAAAAAGATTACACAATAGAATTATTCTCTTTTTTCTATATATTTTTATAAAAATTACAAACACATAAGAACTACATAATCACACTTAATTCTTTTTTTGGTCTAATTTTAAAGAAATTACAATAAAAAATATCAAGTGATAACAATTTAAAATTCAGGACGCAAAGTGTGAGTTTTTAAAATACGGGCAGCAAATTAAAATTGATCTTAAAGTTCAGAAATACCAAGATAATAATCCTTTAATTAATTATAAATTGATATTATAATGGTAAATCACATATATACATAATAGATTGGTTTGTCGGTGTGCCAATGTTAGATTGGTAGATTATTAATTTGTACTAGTTCATTAATTAATAATGAATTATTAATTAGTTCATTGTTGATTAACCATTTTAAAATTGTTATATATATATATATATAGGCTTTAATTACGATGTTTTTTTTTTATAAAATATATCATAAACATACTGCGATGTTTATATGTCTTTTTAGTCGAACTTTTTAGTCGGCTGCTTTAGTAAATGATAGGCGTGTTATTGATTAAAAAGGATAAGAAGAAGACAAGCCATGGACATTGTCAAAGTAATTATGCAAATGTAATAGCATTTTTTCAGAATTTTTTATGAAAAAATATACTAGCAATTTTTATTTTCAATAGTTAGATTTGTATTAAAAAAAATTTATTCTGCATATCTTTTTAATCTAAAATAATTCTGACCGAACCTAACGATTAAAAACTGACACTATTATTAGGCCAAGCTTATTAGAAAATCTCCTTTAAGATTATGATAATTTATACCATGTATTTTTTACAACTATAAAGTACACCTTTAAAATTCAAATTTACTTTAAACCCTCATTAAGAACCCGTTTATTTTATACGTTTAAACTCATAATTTTAATTTTATTACATTTTTTTTTCTCATAAAAATTTAAATTTTAAAAGTTAGAATTAAAAATTACTGCTTTAAACATATGAATCAATCTGGCCTTAAGATTTTGCCTACATATATTCCTTTATTCATTCGTGATACAGTGTTTTAATTAATGTGGCATTATGTTATGCTATTTTAATCCATTGCACGTGTTTTAAGTACCAGAAGATTTTAGAACATCTTGAGATTAAATTAATTAATAACGTTGCAAAACAAAAACGTTCAAAGTTTCAAACTAACAATATGATAACGAAGCATAACATTGAAGAATCAATTTCAATTCCATTTCTAGGACAACCTAAATCCAAACAAAAATGATATGCAAGTCATAGCATAACACACGAGTAGGAAAGACAACGGTGAACATTTTACCCGCCAGCATAATATGGTAATAAAATAAACCATTATGTATTATGTACAATGCCATTCGTCAGAGCATGACAAAAATATTGTTGTGGTCTATGTGAGAAAAATGATACATAAGCCTACAAAAATACCAAGGTCTCACACCTACAAAATTTCTAGAGCGGGCGGGTCATTTTAGATTTTACTATTAACTATTTTAGCCTTCGCTTTTCTTTTCCGTCTACGCTACGCATCACCTCGTTTCGATAAATTAATAGAGAAAGAATTCCGCCTCCTATTTTCCTATCACGCGGATGCTTCCGCAGCGGCACGCTTATCAAATTCCCCCTGCTCTTCTTTGGCGAACTCTTCGATTAGTTCACGTTGTCTTTGAGTCAGATTCCTGCACATCAAATAGTCTAATTGTTAATGAACTGCCACTTGAAAAGAGTACACACCGAGAAATACTGATATTTGGATCCGCAACGATCGATGCTGTAGCTTTCAAAAGCGGCCACTATCAAGTGGCCAACGACAAGAAACTTACGTTGGAATGCTGACGTTGAAGTGCACGTATTGATCACCAAATGAGTAAGAACTCCTCGTTTTAATTCCTGTAAAATGTGACAGTTACAAGGAATATTCAAGCAGTACAGAAACCGACAGACACCAAATTAAGTGAAAGCATCTCGACTGCCAATAATATAATAAGATCGAGCGAAAAAGACACAAAAATTAGAAGAAATAATTCTCTATTATGCAGAATAATCCCCCGCTTTCATTACTAAAATGGACAAAAATAACTGGGCATGCATGGTGTTAGTAAAAAGGGATATTGGACAGTCTTGGTACGGTCACATGATCTACCATTCATGTGATGAAACCCTCTCAAAAAAGCAAAAAGAATGAAGTGCACCTGAAGAATAACTGAGTATAATTTTGCAAATTGTACGACAATGCCACTAAGAAGTTCACTTGATCGAAAGAAAGATATAAAACATGGTGGAATAAACTAGACGGTATAGGTGAGAGGCAAAAAATGAAGCATCATAAGTTTTGAATGCGCAGCAAAAGTGTCAATAAACACTAAAATCATAAATTGGAGAGAGTTGGACTATGCGTTCTTGAGTTCAATATCCTCGAGCAAAAGATAGTTCCTCACCTTTCTTCTTAAGAACTACCTTCTGGCCAGGTTGGCTGCCCGGGCGAACCTGCAGTTATAAAAGCAACATAAGATCACCATCAAATGAAAGTATGGTGCAAGAAACCAGCAAAGAAGTTAATGTTAAAAGTGAATTGCTATACAAACCTTTAGAACAACATCTCCTGTAAGAGTTGGGATTTGAATGGTGCCCCCTAAAATTGCCTGCAGAAAAACGACATTATAAGCTAATCTAAATAGAAGATGTACAAGAAGGAACATGGAGAACAAACAACACATCCATTAGTAAAATCCAAAAAGACAATACTTGTAGCCTGACAAATGACCCCAAGTTTTTAAGAATAGGGATCGGAAACGCAACGAAAGATGTATGAACTTTCATCAAGAAACCAAAACAGGAAAAAATAAAACGATAAATTAATAAACGTTACCTGTGAGATGCTCAGAGGAGCGTCCACATGGATGTCAGCACCTTCTCTACGGAAAACCGGGTCCTCTCTAACCTGCAATAAAGGGGGCAAAAAGTAAGCAGTTAAGGGTAACTGTAGAGAATTCGCAACTTAGACACCCAAACCAAGAAAGCAACAAGTGATGTGCTAAAAAAGTAATAAAATATAGGCTAACGGGATCTGAGTAATGTACCTTAATGGTAACGTAAAGATCCCCAGGGTGATTTCCGTCAGGATCTGCCCCACCACTACCATACACCTTTATAGTTTCGTTATTGTCTACCCCTGCAAATGGCAGATATAGAAGAGTCAAGCACCAGTTAGCAAGGAATAATTAGTAATATACAGAAGATGGTATTCTTTGATATAACATTTGAAAAGCTGATATAACATCTTGAAACGGGAAAAAGTTCCATTGAATCATGTTCGAAACCTCAGAAAGCATAAAGAATATACGGGAAACAAGACTTTTACAAAATAGAAAAGAAAATATAACAGGGATAGCATAGATGAGAAAATAAGATTTTTACAGAAATAGTATCAGCTTAGGAGCTAATCAGGAAAGGGGAAAAGAAGGATCAGGGTGTTTCACAGGTAAAGAGACGGTGTTTGAGGTACTTTACAAAAGCAAAAAAAATCAACCCCACCTTCTCAATTCGATGCCAACATGAATTTACTCTTTCACGAATAAGAAATAACAAATAGAAACTTTACACTTCAATGCCAACATGAATTTACTCTTTCACGAATAAAAAAATAACAAAAAAGAAAATTATAAAACGATAATGTTTCATATATCAGAACAGGCAATTATATCATCCATGCTTAAACGCCCAATGATATAGCAGTATGAATAGTTACATAGCAAACAGGAAAATGTTTGAAACTAAGGAGTTCCCCTGCAAAATACTTCAAAATTAGAACAGGAATATACCTGGGATGATATCCAATTTGACAGTTTTCCTTCCACTCTTCACTCGCTGTCCATCACATGACTTGCAAAGTCTCTGACGATTAAACATATCATTCAGTCAATTACATACTATAGGCAAGCTTTTAGGATAATTTGGAACTGAACTTGAATTCTGGATAAAGATGCAAGGAATGTAGAATTGGCATGAATAACTGCAACACTTCAACTACATGCTATGCCTAGAGACTAATAATAGTCAACAAGACTAATTGCTTCCAAATCCATATAATCCTTTGTGATGGTAAGGATTTGAACCATACCGCAAAAGTTTTCCCAGTTCCACCGCATTGAGAACAAGTCGTCTGCATCCTAAACGGGCCAGTTTGCATGAAGGTCTGGATATAGAAAAATATGAGTTAATAAAGGTATACTGATCTTTATCTCCCATCCCTGAAATTATCTTCTGAAGGAGAACTAACCATGCCCGACCCTCTACAGCGCTTACACGATTCTGGTCTCGTTCCAGGAGGCACACCACTACCACCTGAATATGGGGGCCAGAGAATAGCAATTAAGATGCGAGTTCTCATGGGAAACTGAAAGGTACAATATAAAATGAAACAAAAAAATGCAAAATGATACAAACAAGATACTGAGGAATCTTCAAAAATAAAAATCAGGAAAAAAAAATTTCAGAACTAAAATTACAGAAATAAACAATCTCAACAGCTCACTGTAACAGCTTACACTACAATCAAAAAACTGCCAAACAAAATTCCTTAAATTCAAATGAACAAGAAGGGGTATCCCCGACTTCTTTAGGTGCAGAAATCCACAACGTCGCCTCCTACAACACTAATTCTTACAGAATATCCTCCTCAAAAATCATCAGAATAATTTTCATCCACAAAACCCAACGACCAATGCACAAAATAGACCCAGCACACTTTCCCTTAATTACTTTCATAAAAGAACCACGTAATCCATAGCCTATGAGATGGAAGGTTTGGAGGAACAAGCAAATCGCGGGGGGGGGGGGGGGGGGGGGGGGTGGGGTGGGGGGGGGGGGGGGGGGAGGAATCAGAGAGAAGCAAATTAAATGAATCAGCATACCACAAGATTCACAGGGCACTTCAGCTTGAAATGACACAGTTTTGGTGCAACCCTGAACTGCTTCCATGAAGGATAATTCAAGGGCAACCTGCACATCATAGGGAATGAAGTGAGCATCCAAATACCAACTCTAAAACATCAAATGCACATCAACCTCATAAATGAGAGGGGAAATAACCTTGATATCTGAACCGCCGAGATTCTGACGGAACATGTTGAAGATCTGCCACAACGCACACGTGTTTGCATTAAAAAGACAATTGAATCACCCTTGAAAGGATAAAATATGGAAATGACAGAACTTAATTTAGAGCAAACAAATTGTATCATCATAATATAAGGTGTCTCAAAAGAAACATGAAACCAATTCATCCTTAAAAGGATAAAATATGGAAATAACAGAAAAGTTATTGTAGAGTAAACAAATTGTATGATCATAATAGAAGGTGTCTAAAAAGAAACTTGATAACCTGTGGAAATTAACAAAGGTCTCAATCATTAGCCAAAAGAATAAAATAAAATAAAATAACAAACGTCTCAAAAAGTTTAAAGAAACAAATTTCTCAAGAAAACTACTCAAGAAGTAGAGATTACATTATCATTAAAGATATCAGTAAATGGATTCCTAAAATCATTGGGGAAGCCATTGCCTTCGTTGTCTTCAAATGCAGCATGGCCAACCTAAAACATTAGAAATGATAATGACATTAGCTGCACTAGTAATCAAATTGAAAGGAAGGAAATTTAATGCTTCAGGGACAAATGTTGGCACAATTATTGATAGAAACTGCAACACGTACAAGAGCATATTGTATCACAAGGAGTGTAGTTAAAGTATGGTAAAGAAATAAGTATTTGAGTCGTTTTTATACATGAACTCTCTATCCTTATTTACACAACTATCCGTAGTATCTGCTGTACCAACATCGCATTGCCATAATATCATATGTTGTACATGAGAGAACGTGAGAGAATAGATACAACATTGAAGCAAGCTAACATGGCCTCATTTTGAAGCAATTAGAATGACCAATTGATCTATACATATATATATATGTATATATATATAAATAAATATATAATTATGCACAAAATTGGAACAGCCAGGTTCAGGACTTCAGGATACTCAGCTCCAAACAGAAAAGGCATTATACAGAAAGTTTTGTGTTGGAAGACATGTAAAGCATGCGCCTAGAGATGAACAGAGAACGGAAAAATATGGTAGCTCCATCCCTGGATGCCCCTGGAGAGAGCAGTGGACGGGAAAAAAGGGGTAGCTAACAAGAAATCACAGCAGAAAACTCATTCAAGAATGCCCTTTCAGGAATAAGCTCAGTCTTTCATTGTAAATTCAAGCAACAGTTCAACCACTAACATGATGTTGCAGCAGTATAGAGAATTATAAACAGGAAAGCACAGTAATAGATGTAAAAGATGTTTGTAAAGCAAAGAAATGTTCTTTAGCTCCATAAAAGAAGAGATGTAACCCGGGGAATGCACTACATGGAATGATGGAAGTGAGTCAAGTGACACTCCAACAGCACTATTTTAACTTGAAACAACACCAAAAACAAGGCATTTACACAGAAAAGTAGCCGCCTAAACAGGGTAGGACGTATCTACCATATACCACAAGATTCAACTGGATAAAAAGTATTTTAGCAAACAGGTAATCAACACACACAAACACAAAAAAAAAAGGAAAAAAAAAAATCAGCAGATAGCAAGAAATAGCTACAGGAATAATTATTTGTAACACCTCATCATATTGTCGACGCTTGTCCTCATCTTTCAAAACCTACAAAGGGAATAAAAATAAGGACTATGTTAGCACATGGGAATCTAATAAGTTGTGGAAACAAAGAAACAAATACAACCTCATAAGCCTTTTGAACTTCTTGGAACTTCTTTTCAGCTTCAGGATCATCCTTATTCGTATCTGGATGGAGTTTCTTTGCAAGCTGAAATGTAACAATTAAATATCAAATAATGGTTTAAAACCAAGTTTAAGAGAAAGGAAGGAAAAAAGAAAAAGCAACTTAAGATACTTTTTTTTTTTTTTTTAAGGATTGGTCATTGTAGGTAACAACGCCCATTTGGTTTCAATAGAAAGTTGTAATAGAAATTCAAATTTTTGCAAGAGAAAACACTTAGCAAAAGGTTTGAAATGTAGTTCAAACCCACAAAACAAATAGGCTAGTAGTATATGAATCTCTTATTCTTATAAGAAACCAAAAAAAAAAAAAAATTTGACGACAGAATAAGAATGATTATGCAAATCATAGTCGTATATGAAAGACACTGGATGCCGGGCGCTGTGAATTCCAGTAAACATATATGCAAATCTGTATTCCTCCTATTGAAACTATTAAGACATCACTTTTTATTATTCTTAAACTAGAAAAATAGTCATCGTAAAAAAAGCCAATTTTAGGTGATAGACACCTTTTCATAAATCATAATGGAAGAAACCATGTGTCAAGCCGTTATGAGCATATGTTACAGGCTACAAGCAGCTCTATAAAACTTGCTATGGTAACTTGGCACGTAAATTATGATAAAGCTACAAGGTCAAAACCTACCCCATAATAAGCTTTCTTTATTTCAGATGCACTAGCGTTTCTGCTCACACCAAGTACATCATAATAATCTCTTGCCAAGGGAGCTAACAAAAAGGGCAAAAACCAACATAAACACCATACTCATGTTAATGTTCACAGAACATCAAGTGAAAATAAAGAACTGCATAATAATACACAAAACACCAAATAATCCATAACATATTTACTACTAACTATATTTTTATATATAAGAACTATGACAAGTTTCTCGCAAGAGTGTTTCTCTTTTCCCTTTTCCAACCGAAATTAGAGTTCGCCCCAAGCTTCATATCGAAACAAGATAGGGTTTGGGAAACTAACTTTCAGGAAAAATGTGAATACATATAGAAATCCAAAAGAAAAAGAAAGGTAAATGCAAGGACATAAATAAATGTATAATACATATCACTCATCCAATATTAGAAAATATGGGGACAAAAGATCCAAACGGAAACATATAAGGTTCTCAATACCGGTACTGTGAATTGGCCTAGCTGTGCCAAGCTTGGCATTCAAAGCTCCCAACAAGGACCAATTTTTCTGGAAAACTGCCAAAATAAAAAGGTACAATAAGAGTCGATAAAATAAAGAAAAAGCTCACGTCTTTTTTTTCCTATATAAAGATATGTATCACCAGATAATAAATGCTACGCACCATCCTGATACTCTTCAGAATCAATCATCAAATTTTCTATTTTTTCTTCAGTATCTTTGTCTATGTCTAGACTTTCCAATTCATTATTTAACTCGCATAATATTTCTTTTTTCTCTGACCATATTTTCCACAACCATAGCACTTTATTGTTTTCGAACTTTTCATATTTTCGGGTTTCGTCTTGGGTTTTAGATTTTCTAAACTATCGTGAGCTTTCTTGCCAAGAACCTTTACGGGTGTTCGGCGTATCATGATAGCTGAATCATTGGCAGAAGGATCCTCATTTCTTCTTTGTTTGATGTTTTTCTTTTTCGAGTTGTTTTTCAAAGTTTAAAGTCCGAGCAAATTTGCAGGCCTTCTATCTGGACTTGGCTAATCAAATTGCTATATGTTGATTTACTAAAAGTCTATGAAGCAATTTATATATGTTTCTGTATACACACACTCTCTCTCTCTACTCCACATAAACCACCCTGTAATTTTTCACAAATTTCAGAGCAATGAAAAATAAGATAATCGAACTGTTCACGCACCATTATCGGAAGCGTACTTTCCCAGAACTCTAGACGGGTTGCAACCTCCGGCATGGAATCTTCTAGAACCGCCCCGAAACACCGTCTCATATACCTAAAATTGTAGAAAAAAAGGAGAAGAATTTCATCAGATAATACTAAAACGAATCAAATTCGAAGAAGAAGAAGAAGAAGAAGAAGAAGAAGAAGAAGAAGAAGAAGAAGAAGAAGGAAGAATTACAGGGTGGTTCCGAGATTCGCGGGAGGAACGGCGAGCGAGGCAGTGGAGGAGCCTGACGCCATTGGAGCGAACCATTTGGGTGAGACTCTTTATTCGAAGATCAGACAATTTGGGGATTAGGGTTTTATGTGGAGAACTGATTTAGAAATGGTGGAGATGATGATTTCAATTGTTGATAAACCCCAGAGAAACCCTAGTCAGGTTGAGAGAGTTGGAAGGTTCTAGCAGTTCGAGGAAGCAACTGCGTCGTCAGATGAGGAGAGAGAGAGATAGAGAGAGAGAGAGAGAGAGAATATGTTAAGGGTAGGGTATACCGATATGTTTCATATGTTTCAGACGAAAATGGAAAAGCCTAAAACCCCATTTCGTGGGAATTTTTCCTTTTTTTTTTTTTTTTTTTTTTGAGTTATGCACAAAAAATATTTATTTCTAACTTTTTTGCAAATCGGTCCTTGCAAATATTAAAATTTTCCTTTTTCTTTTTTCATGAATTTACGCTTGTGGTATAAATGCCTCAACTCATGTACTGAAGATCTAATCTAAAACCAAATTAAAAAAAAAATGCTAACCTTAAGAATAGAGGTGCGTGACAGTGGGTATGAGCGGTTTGAGCAGTTTTTTTCTTTATGGTTTTTGAAAAATTTAATTCATAATTGTCAAAATTTTAGGAGGATTGGGCAGTTTTTTTGACTGGTATATTAAGCGATTTGTTAGGCAGTATGGATTTAGTTTAGTACCTTTATTTTTGAACTATTAAATTAGAAATTAAATTTTTATAAACTTAGCTGTTTATATAAGTAAGCATACATATAGTATAGGCATTTAAATTCATTTTTATAAATTCAAGAAAAACAACTAAACATTGTATGAAGTTATGGTCATTTCTTCAAAACTGTTGATCTAAACGTGAGGCTATAAAAATATAATATTGTTAACTAAATACTAGAAAATATAAAAACATAATAATTATTTAAAACCACTTTTTGGCGCAAAGTCTTGAAACTTATAATATGCAAGAGTTGCAAGAAAACACATTCACGAATACACATACAAGAGGTACAAATGTAGATACACAGTTAATGAAAGCTAATAAAATGAACTTAAACGTAGCATACATAGCACAATTGCACATGTTTCTAAAAAGGAATATTTAAATAAATTAAATTTAAAATCTAAATCATAAAATGTTAAACCAAGCAAATAGTCAACATTCACTATATAAACTTCCATAAAAAAATATACGTGCATATATGATAGGCAAGCGGGGCAGTCTGAAACCGCTCAAAATTATGTGAATCGCAACTGCCCGTCTATGAGTGTGTATTATAACCACGCTGCTCAAAAATAGGTGGATTGTGACATGGACTCGCCAACAGTTGGCGGATTGGGCAATTAGAGCGGTTTGTAATTTTTTTTGTTTTGTTTTGTTTTGTTTTGTTTGTGCCCCCTACTTAAGAATGAGAGGAATTGGATTAGCATATGCCCAACGTTATTTGTCATGCGAGCTTAGCCTAGCTCTCTGTCTTGAGCCCATAAAAGGATGAGAAGTCAGCTATCTTATTAAAAGATTGACGTTGGTGAAAATATCGAGAAAATTTTACTGAAAAATTACAAGAATATTTGCTTTAAAACCTATTGTTTCTATATGATAATTAAATATATGATCAAGTCAAAGTTGGAAAAAATAGAAGCTAAAAAAAGTTGAAAAAAAAGTTTTGTATACATTTAGATAGGAAAAAATTCGCTAAACTTTTCGTATCTAAATGTATACGATTAGCTGATGAAACTCAATTTTTAATTTTGACATATTAGTCTTTTTCATTTTTTCATAATTTTAATCTCTAATAGTAAATTGATGAATGATTTATAAAATTAAATAAAGATAGTCAAGTATATCTTAAAATTTTATAGAAACAGTTACGTTAAATTTTCTCTTTATTACTATTAAAACATGTAGAAAACAATAACATTTTGTTCTTACTATGACTATTTATGTAAATTTTTAGTGCGATAAAAATATGATTATTAATATTGTGTTATATCGTTCATAGTATTAAGGACTATTCTGAAAGTTCAAAGACTAATATTTTAAAATTAAAAATTTACGGGTCAAATTGTGATTGTACTCAGAGTATAGGGACTAAGTAGTAATAACTAAAAATATTAAACCTCGCATAATTTTCATTCAGCTCTCTCGCGCTACCCTCACTCTTCTCTCCCTCTCTCTCTCTCTCTCGAACTCCCACTTTCTCAGTTCTCACGTCGCCGCCGCCGCCGCCGCCCCCCTGCTGAGTGCCGCCATCGGCCATCGACTGCTGGTAAACTTTTTCTTCACTCGAATCTCTTGTCTTCTTGACTTCTTTGATAGTTGATACTTGATAGCACACCATTCATGTTCGTGTTCAAATTCTAAGCGAATGAGAGTAATTTGTGCATAGGAATTTCGATTTCAATCCTCTAGGGCTGGCTCTGAATCTCTCTAGAGAGAAAAGAGCTAAGAAGTAATCATTTTTTTTGTTTTTTTTTCCCCTTTTTACTATCTGTCTATTTTTTAAGGTTTAATTATTAGCCTGGTAATCTAATCTAATAATTAATAAAACATACCAAAATTGCAATAACAAAATAAAATACTAAACACTGACCGGTGAATTTGTTTGTTATTGGAGCAGATGTTGAAGCTGAATAATAGTATCACAGTTTTTGATTTGGGTGTATGCTCTTTTATTTTTTTTTTTCTTTGTGTGAGTATGCTCTGATTGGCTCATTCTTGTTTTTGGTTTTCTCATAATTTCCTCGCAGCAAACTATGGAAATCAAGGGTGATGGTGTAAATGGCT